AGAAAGAAAGAGAAAGAAAGAAAGAAAGAAAGAAAGAAAGAAAGAAAGAAAGAAAGAAAGAAAGAAAGAAAGAAAGAAAGAAAGAAAGAAAGAAGGTAGAGAGGGAGGGAGGGAAGGAAAGAAGGAAGGAAGGAAGGAAGATACTGAGTATTGTTAGTAAATTTACTGTGGGATGATAGTGGCTTGAATTAATATGATGGCAATACAGGTGAAGGGAATTAACGACTTAAAATAGATTTAGAAATTACAGTAGTGCTTGGAAGTTCAGATCCTGAAGTCAAACTGCTCTACCACTTATGAGATGTGTGTGGTAATTTCCCAAAGAAGTGAAGAATACAGTTGTTTTATTCTAGGTAAGTAGATTCCCTCTCTGAGCTGCTTCTCGCTTAATATATGGGCCTAATAATACATAGGATTGTTGTAGTAATAAAATAAATAATACATTAAAAACACTTATCATAAGATTTGATAGCTGATTGCCTATGAGTGAGAAGAGACAGGAATAAAATAAATAACACTCAAGTTTGTATTACAGAGGAAATAAGAGAGAAATGAAAAGCAGAAGTAGCCGAAGAATGGACTCACACAAATATAGTCAACTCATCTTTGACAAAGGAGCTAAGGTGATTCAAGGGAGAAAGGATACTTTTTTTCCAATAAAATACTGTTTTTCAACAACTAGACATCCACATACAAAAGAAAAAAAGGGAATCTAGACATAGGCCTTATACTTTTCACAAAAATTAGCTCGAAAGGTACCAAAGACTTAAGTGTAAATCATAAAACTGTAAAACTCCTAAGAAATAACATAGGAGAAAATCTAGGTGACCTTATGTTTGGTAACAACTTTTTAGATACAATACCAAAAGCCCGATCCACAAAAGGAAAAATTAGTAAGTTGGACTTCATTAAAATTAAAAACTTCTGCTCTGTGAGAAACTTTGTCAAGAGAAAGAATTAAAAGTCATAGAACATGGAAAAATGCAAAACCTATATCTGACAAAGAACTTGTATTTAAAATATCAAAGAACTCTTAAAACCCAACAAGACAACAACAACAACAAAATTTAAAAATGGGTAAAAGATCTGGGCACCTCACCAAAGAAGATATAGAGATACAAAACAAGTGTATAAAAAGATGTTCAATATCATGTTATCAGTGAATTGCAAATTAAAGCAATGAAATACCAGTGTGCATCTTTTATAACAAGTAAAATCCAAAACACGGACAACAGTAAATGTTAGAGAGGATGTGGAGCAAGAGGAACTCTCATTCATTGCTGGGGGAATTACCAAATTGTTGAATGATTTTGGAAGACACTTTGGCAGTTTCTTATAAAAGTAAGTAAACTTTTACCATATGATCCAGAAATCATACTCCCTGTAATTTACCCAAATAAGTTGAAATCTTATGTCCACACAATAATCTGCACATGATTGCTTATAATAGCTTTATTCATAATTGCCAACCCTTACAGCAACCAAGATGTCGTTCAATATGAATGGATAAACAAGCTGTGTTACACTCATCTATATGATGTTTTTCAGTGATGAAAAATGAGCCAAGTCATGAAAATATTTGGAGAAAACTCAGATGAAATGAAGTGAAAGAAACAAATCTAGAAAGACTATATACCTTGTGATTATAACTGTATGATATTCTGGAATAGGCAAAACTTTAGAGACAATAAAAAGATAACTGGTTTTCAGAGGTTTGGAATAAGGAAAGAAGGGATGGATAGGTGGAACAAAGGGGATCCTTAGGCCAGTAAATCTATTCTGAATGCTACTGTAATGGTGGATACATATCATTATATATTTGTCAAAACTCATAGAAAGTACAGCACCAAGAATGAACCCTGTTGCCAGCTGTAGACTTTAATAATAATGTATTCATAAAGTCATATCAATTATAAAAATGTAGAGCACTAATACAAATATTAATAACAGAAAGGGGTAAACAAAACTCTCTGTGCTTTCTACTCAATTGTTCTGTAAACCTGAGACTGTTCTTGAAAACATGGTCTATTAATTATATGTATATGTTGTACAAAAGCAGGGGTAGGTTGGGATTGTATGTTCCATTTTCAGCCTCCTAATATATGGTGTGCCTGTGAGCACAAGTAGGTGATCAGATAAATAGCTCTGCTCTTTAAAAGGGAGACCCACACGTTCCCTTCTTCTTAAGGACCCCTTTGCTTTCCTCAAGATTACTCCCATGCTCCTAGTACTTCTCTGGTTTTCGAATTGGACTGCGTGTTTGTTTTAGTACCTTATATCTTCAAGTTAGCTCCTTAGAAATCACTGAATAGATGGATGAGTGATTCATGTTAGTGAGGTAAGAGGGGACAAAGCAGTGAGCACAGACTGTCTCAATTGCCTAGCTCAATCTCTGTCCTATATCTCTCTAGAAGTTTGACATTCAGAAATCTTAACTT